GGGAGAGATTTGCTTTATTAAAGTCCCCGAGAATGATTAAAACAGAGTCCGGGTGTTGTTGTTCTGTGTCTGTGATCTGATCAGCGAGTTTCTGTAAAGCGGAGCTCACGTGTGCTTGCGGAGGAATGTAGACACTGACGAGAATGAACGAGCAAAACTCCCACAGCGAGTAGAAAGGCTTACAGTTAATGAAGAGCACTTTTAGATCTGAACAGCACATCTTCTCTAACACAGTTACATCTGTACACCACTTCTCATTGATGTAAAAGCATGTCCCAATTTCCCCGTTGATTCTGCGTTGCGATCCGCTCTGAACAGCTGAAAGCCCGGGAGACTCAACGCGCTGTCCGGAATGGCGTCTTTCAGCCAGGTTTCCGTGAAACACAGAGTTTGAAAAATCCTTATTTGTATGCGAGAGCAGAAGGAGTTCGTCCGTTTTGTTGGGTAGAGAGCAGAGGTTCGCCAGATGGATGCTAGGCAATGGCGATCTGAATCTGCACTGCCTTAGCTTCACGAGCGCGCCAGCTCGCTTCCCCCGTCTGCACGTCCTGAAGCGTTTGGACCAGCGCCACAGCTACCCCGACTACAATGTCCAGCAAAACATCAGAATAATCAAAAACCGGTGAAATATCGGGTGATGTGTACTTTCTAAATGTCCAGCAATTCGTCTCTGGTGAAACTGATTGCAGGGATATAACTAAAGACAGGACAAACTAACAAAAACAAAAACAACTGCGGAGCATGCCACGGAGACAGCCATCAACGTCGGCGCCATCGCAAAGTGGCGCCATTTAATGATTTAAATGGTTTATTAATAAATGTGCGATTAGTCGATTAATGCTTCAAAACTCTTTAGTCGAGGGCAGCCCTAGTTACTACTTCTGGTTTTCTACATCAGCACTATTTGATCTGTTTATAAGTAGGGCTGTGTGATTAATTGAAATCGTCATAATATCCCGATTTGAGCATGCACGATTTCTAAATCATTTTATAGCACGATTTTTCGCGCCCCCGACCTCCCGCAGTATGCTATCTGAACCAATCAGAATGCAACGCGCCTAAATGGAGCGCAGGAACAGAACAGACCGGGCGGGCATACAAACATAACGCCAGGTTCACACACTCCGTCTGTGGTGCGTATTTTTTCCCGCACCCATGTAAATGGATCAGAGCGTTCACACTGCACGCGGTTGCGGTCCGGCAGTGCGCTCCAGGAATGGTGTGTCTGCAGCAGTCATGCATCGATCTTTTCCACACGGAGTCTATTTCTGCTGAGCTGCACACGCTGAATTAAAGTGACAGCAAATTGTTTGTGGTAAAAATTTACATGGATTGACACGGAAATGTAGTAATTAGTTATATATAATTAAAGTCTACTGTTTCACCATCAACACATGGCTTTTTGGCTAGATTTAAAGGGGTCATATGATGCAATTTCAAATGTTCCTTTCTCTTTGGAGTGTTACAAGCTCTTGGTGCATAAAGAAGATCTGTAAAGTTGCAAAGACTAAAGTTTCAAATTCAAATAGATATTCTTTATAAAAGTTAAGAGTCAGCCACGCCTACCTAAAACAGCTCGTTCTAACATGCCGCCACATATCTACGTCACTATGTGGGAAGATTTGCATAATGCCGCCCAAATGTGCACGCAAAGAAAGAAGGCGTGGTTTCAGGAACAGCAGTAGTGTTGATGCAGCCATGTCAGAGAGACGCTGTGTGATTCAGTATGAAAGCAAAAGCACTTTATTTGGCCTTCTGAGCTCAGAAGTAGATGCAATTAGGAATCATTGGTTAAGATTGGTTTACAACAGAACAGTATGGAGGACGAGAAATGACTTAAGTATAAATAAATAAATAAATGAATAAATACGTAAATGCAGAATTAAATAAATAAATAAATGTAGAAATACATAAATTAATAAATGAATAA